GCAACCCAAAAAAAAAAAAAAAAAAAAAAAAAAAAAAAAAAAAAGAGAGAGAGACACAAATGCAACTGTCTTTTACACAAAAGTAGGAAAGACGTGCTCCTATGTTTCTGAAATGAGAAATGGGATACAGATAATGCCAGATAAATACTTCAAGGGGCTTTTTCAAAAGATATCTCAATACAGTATTATGTTTGGTATTTGAAATAGATTAAACTAGGGCTGGGGATTTAGCTCAGTGGTTCCACTGCCTGCCTTCTAAGTGCAAGGACCCGCGTTTGGTCCCCAGTACAAAAAAACAAAAACATTTCAAGGACAAAATATCATTATTTTTAATATTCTAAGTATCAGGATTTCTTTAGAAGACTGAACTATGACACAAAGGCTGTGCCTTTTACTCTTGGATTTATTTTCTTGACAAAAAGAGAGCAATCATGCATTATTGGAAATATTTAAAAATAGCAACCAAAAGTTGCAACAGAATGTGAAGAAATATCCAATAACTTTCATGAAAACCTCTTTGCTTAGCAGACTGTAGTCTGCCCACTGAAAGCCAGTCATAAATTGGGTGGCTTAAAAGAGACAAGAAAGAATATTACAGCTTTCCTACCTCCCATGCTATTGTCTTTCCCCTATCTTATCCTGTGTAGAATATTGCCAGCAAGACTCTGCATGAGTTTATACTGCCTTCTGAAAGCTGGGTTAATCTTCCAGCTCTACTCATCTGGGACAAGTTTAGGCAACAGGGTTATTCTCCCTTAGCTCATGCCAAGTGCCCTGTTAAGTGGGGCACTTCTTTCAGGTTGCTGTGTTTTGCTCTGCTTGAGATGCAAGTGTTTTGATTTAACACCACATGGGAGATAGCTGATGCTATCCAAGAGTGCAAATGACCACTAGTTTTTCTTTACCATTCCTGTGTAGTCGTTTTATTTCAGGAAATATTAAGTATATTACTTTGTTCATAATAAATTTGGCCATCTCAAGACTGTTCAGAGGAAAATACTGGCTGGATACTAATTCTGGTTACCTAGAACTTATTCCAATTATTGAAAACAGAAGAAAATGAATATAATGTCAGTCTACTCCCTTATAATTCATCAGAGGCTTTTAACATCTCATAGGTACAGATCAATAAGCCTTGGTCAGGAATCTCTATTGATTTCATAGGAGATAGACTTAGTGAATTTAGCAAAGACTTTCTCAGAAAGATCTTCCAAATGAGAACTTCAGTACAATAATCCTAGTAATGGTCCACTTATTTGCAATTTTTAAATTATCTCTGATAGCTGCATTTACTTTGACTTTACGTTGCCAAGTATCTACATTTTGACTATCATTATTGTCTATAATATATTCCTTAATGTTTCTAAGGCTTCTGATCATTCACTATGTAGCTCCCTGCAGGACAGAAGTCAGTCCAGCTTAATCATCAGTGGGTGGCATCTATAGACTTATTTCTGTCTCTTTCTGAACTTCCAGGCAGTTAGGGGTACTCCTCTGACTTTACCAACTAGCCTCAGATTGGATTTTCCTAGATGGTAGGGAGCTGGTAAAAACTGAATTTTTAGCACACAGTTGAGTTGTTCCATCTCAGGTTAAAGTGCAAGACTTCCTTGTAACTAACTTCAAAGATTGATTCATAAGTGACTGGAACAGAAACAATTTAACAAAGGAATAGCTTGTTTTTAGTTGAAAGATAGTTTTCTAATGCAGTTTTTCTGAGCTTTCTAAGTCAACCTAAGATCTTGAGCTCTATAATGATAGAAGAAAAAAGGATACCTTTTAAAAGAATAAACAAATGTTTTAAGTATTTTGTTAATATTTAAGGTCATATTGTAAGTATAACTATTAATCAAAAAATTTAAATTTGCAAGAAACATAGTTTCATTTTTCTATTAGTACATCTAATTTCTATATCTAGCTCTGATAAGGGGTGGCTGACAATCAGTTAATTTATTAGGAACTGCGTCTCAGCTGAGGAGGCTTACATAGATAATATTAGAATATTAGGGGAAGAAGATGAAACATTTAATCTTTGCTCCTTATTTACTAAACTGGCTCCCCTGAGATTTCCGACTGACGTCTTTCCTCAGTAGATCTAGCATCAAAGACTGCTGCTGAGTTGATCTTGGTTTTTCTAATCTCTTTTAGGTCTGGTGGCTGGCTACTACTTCTGTTCCCTGTTGTGTGTCTGGGAATTGTGCTTAGTTTCCAAAACCCTGCATTGCCCATTATAGTATCAGCTACTATTTTCTACAATTTGATTGTTCTTAGGAATCCCATTTTTTTTCTAGAAAGATATTTTTAAAAATTCATTGTTTTTTAGTTAACTTCTTCACAACCCGCATCACCCATTATTACAAGAAACTAGAAAGACTGGTTGAGAAAGTTTGAGAATTTATGAAAAGCATTAATAAAATATGATGCAAAAAATTTTTAATTTTCATGTTGGCTCCTGAAGGGCAACTTGGATGAGCATAGTTTATGACCATTTCTATAAATTAGCCATTTAAAAAGCCTATACATTTAATCTATAATGATGAAGAATATATTACCGTTGGAAGTCATCATGACTATAGGTTGCAGTGACTAAACCATTCAGGAAGGACATCCAAGAACTCTTATGATGTACACAATGTAATAATCAATATAACTATTATGTGGTTATTTTATTAGTGTTTTGAATTAAAACTACAGAAAAATAAGTGATAACTATATTTTTCGCTGTAAATGAACATCGAGTGTTTTTCCTTTCAACTTTATTGATGTACTGAACACGAAAAAACACAAAGAATGCAAACACAAAAGAAACTATGTACCGCCTCTTAAATACTCAACAGTATATATTTTCTATTCCAACATGTGTGAATTAAGTCATACTGTAGAAATTCAAATAAATACCAGCCTTATGTTTTATTAAACGCTCTGATAAACTTTGATGGTATTATTAGATCACTTTATTGAAAGTGGAATACAACTGGATATTGAGTTTGTCTTCTACCTTTCTCCCCATCTCTCCTGCACGATTTTCTGTCTCCCACTCTTTTCTTTTGTCCCCAAAGTTACAGATGTTCTCAACTCTCAGATACTACTACACTCCTTTGCTTTCTCAAAGAATCTTTCCCAAGATTCCCAAACCGCTCAAGCTACCTTGTCTCTGCACCTTGCTGTCCAACTTCAGCAGTCTGAACTACCCTTAACTTGTTCCAGAGGTTCTCTTGAGTATTTTGTTGTCATGGTTAGCTTGCTTCTCTTTTCCATTCTTCTTCTCTGACCATTTCTTTTCAGTTCCATTTTCACTTTATTCAGCTTAAGCTCTAAATGTTAGGATTCCCCAACATTTTATTCTTTGTCTTTTTCTACACCAGAAGTCTGTGAACCACCTGAAACTGAAAGCAAATTTTTGTGTTTTGTGGTAGGTTAAACTTGCATATTCTCTCTTTTAACGAGGCCATGTACCCTTGCTCTCACATTCTTCAGGTTATTTTATCCTCTCCTTTGCCTTAACGATTTTTTAAATAGCCAGCCACTCCCAAATCCATCTACAGTTTATAGCAAAAGATAAAAAAACTTAACGAACGGGAGAGACCAATATACAGAGAAATGCTGAGGAAAACTGCTGCGAACATTTATATCCAGCTCGGTTTTACTGAATGTCATCAAGGACTGGGGACCTGGCAAGACCATTACTTTGTTAGGGGGGAAAATCCCCAGGAGGATTCTTCAAAAAAGGCGGCGCGTATTCAAATCCTAGCTGTTAGTGGCGGCGGAGCGGGTGCGCCCAGGTTCTAGGTGGGGGATAAGAGAAAACAGGAGAAACTAACACATCACTCTCGGCCCAAGGAGGCAGCTAAGCAAGCCCCTAGCACTGCTCCCACTGTCAGAAGCTAGAAACCGGGTCCCGCACCCGGCGGCGCCTTTGAACGACAGCCACCTCCTGCAATCACTTTCCAGTTCACTATAAACACTCCTTACTCCTCCCGCCTATCGCTCCCCCTCTGAGCCAATCAGAAGAATGGGCGGGATCGTCCATAGCGGCTTCCAATTTTTTTAAAGAAGGGTTGACCGTGAGCCGCTGTTCCGGCTGAGGGAAAAACACCCCGAGGACTACGGGGTGGAGCCCTTGTGATGGGCATAAAAATTTACCAATGAGATGCCCCAGTTGCTCAAAGGCCCGGCCGCTGAGGTGGGCGGGGCGCGTGAAGACCCGGCCAATGGCTGCTGGGTGGACGAAGGTTGAGCCGCGGTGGGTAGGGTTAGTGTGAGAAGTGCGGCGGGGGAGGTAATGATGGTGGTGAAGGAGGAAGGCGGGGGAGGGGGTGCTGGGCGCTGAGTGGCGGCTCTGGCAGGGTTTGGTAGGGTGGGGGACGGTCGCAGGACGTTCCCTCAGGAAGAGGGTGGGCGGAGGGGCGCAGTCGGCCTGAGGGGCCATAGACCCCCATCTTCCACAAGCGCCACGGCTGGCGTAGCTGTTCCATGTGGCTCCAGCGGGGATGGAGGACTCGGTGGCGGCGGCGGCGGCTGCTACTGCGGTGGCGACAGAGAAGCGGATCTGAGGAGGGAACCGGGCCAGGCTCAGCCATACAGCGGGATTAGAGGTGTGAGGAGGAGGCGGGAGTGGGCGAGCGGAGGGGCCGGGACGCCAGTACGAGCTGGGCTCTTTTGGCAACGCCTAGGTGACAGGCACCGTGGTGGGCCCCTGCCTGCTTGTGTTGGAGGCCAGGGATCTGGGCTCTGGGTGTGAGGAAACGGGGTTCTGGCAGGATGTTCCCTAAGGATGAGGCAGGGAGGTACCGCACCCGCACGGTACAGTTGCCTGGCTGGTAACTGCTTTCCGCCCAGGCGGGATTTGCATTTCTCTGTGGTTGGCAGCCAAGGTGAAGAGAGAGCCCAACTGGCCTGGAGCTAGGACATTGCCCTCCCTGTGCCTTCAGATTTCCCTCCACTCGTTGCCCATCCATTTCCCTTTAATTGAACAACAGCATTCCTCCTCGCCCCCTAGTTTGTTCCAAGCATATATTCCAGGACTCGAGGCTATTAATTATCGGCTGAAAAACAAAGTTTATTTAAAAATACTTTACTCCTCTCTGACTGGCGGTGGACATTAAACAGCATCTCTAGACTTTCCCGCTCTCCTTGCCTTTCTGTGATGCTAGAAGTATAAAGTACGGCCCTACTTGCACCTCTCATCGCTTGTTGATGCCGAGTACCTTGTATATTGCTCCAAGTCTTTGGTGTGAATTGTAATTTCTTCCTTGGTAACATGTTACCAAGCTTTTGAGGGTGGTGTTTTGTTTCACCGTTTGAAAAACATGCAGAGAACTGTGATTGTCTGTTGCAGTGTTATCTAACATGGTTGGTTAGTCACTTTTCATGCTTCTCACATATTTTTTCTCTTTTTGTCTTTGTTTTCCTTTTCAGTACTCCAGGATACGACTCATACAGCCCCGAGGTGGAATGGTGTTGTCTCCCTGAGGGAACCTTCTCTTACTCATCCTGTCATGTATATCATACTGTTCTTGACTGAGTCATTCGTCTAAGATGGGACTTACCCTGTGAAACAGGGAGAAGACATATGAATCCCAAACATCATTTCAAGTTGTAATTGAGTTTTGTGAAGTACAGACATACATGCAAAGCTCCTTTGCCTTGGATCCTCTGCCTTATTAAAGTTGCTGTGTTGCTAACCCAGAACTGTTTCAATTTATTGATCCATCATCATGGCTTCTGTTTGGAAGAGACTGCAGCGCGTCGGAAAACATGCTTCCAAGTTTCAGTTTGTGGCTTCCTACCAGGAGCTGATGGTTGAGTGTACAAAGAAATGGTAAGATTTGCCTCAGACTAGAGTTTACTGTGTTGTGGCCACAACTCACTGTGGCCTAAAGTATGAGTCTTTAAAGAGCAGATTTACCTTTGTAGTGCAAAAGTGTGTAGAAGATGGGCAGGGTGCAGATTACTCTAGCAAGTTCTATGGTGTGCAGTGTCTCTGTGGATTTTAATTACTGCACTTCAGAAGGGCTCAGAGGACTGTACCTGAGAGCACACTAAGTACACTAGATTTGGTCTTGAGGTTATTTATCATTAAAAGTTAGAATAACTGATTTTTTTTTTTTTCCGGTATGGGGAATTGAACTAAAGAACTCGCACTTGCCAGGCAGATGAAGCACTGCTGAGCTACATCTCTGACTCTAATAACTTTGATTTTTATAATTTTATTTAAAAAGTTTTTTGTGGTACTGGAGATCAAACTCAGGGCCTCACAAATGTCAGGCAAGCACTGTATCACTGAGCTACATCCTGAGCCCCAATTTTTAAAATATAATTTAAAAGTATAAAGAATGGCTATTGAGGGCCGAGGACTTAGCTCAGTGGTTCCACCACCTGATTTGCAACTGCAAGGTTCAGGGTTCAATCCCTGGTACCAAAAAAAAAAAAAAAAAAAAAAAAAAAAAAGAATGGCTGTTGAGATTGTATAAATCTGTTTTTTTTAATATAACATGTATATGTTTTAGTACAATTTTAATGTAGAAGTCTATATCCTTTAGACTATTGGTGATAATGTATTTTACTTTGTTCTTATTTTTAAATTTTTCTTTACCTAAGATAGACTTTTTCATCATTTGACTAATGGAATGCCAGTCCTCATAACCATACATACTTTTTTGTTAAATGCTTAGGCAACTATATTTTGTTTTAATTGTCTAATGGGATATGTTTCTTGGCTGTATTTAAAGAAGCAATTAGTAGTGCTGGTCTTTGATTTACTTCTTTCCACTGGTGCAAAGTAAATTTAGGGCTTTCTTTTCACTACTCTGAGTGATAAGCAACAATAATTCTTATTTAGTGAGTGAAAAAAGTCAATCTTAAGCAAATGGTCCTTTGGGTTTTGATTTATTGCAATAATTAAGCAGTATTACTGCAAAATAAGTTCATTTCATTGTCCACAAGAATTGTAATCTCATATCTATAATGACCTTTTTTTTTTTTTAATTAGGTGAAGAAAATAGCTTGCCTCATTCTAGAACTCCTGTAGCATATTCTAGTATTTATCTGGAATCTAGTTTCTGACTACTTTTGTCTTCAACTTGATAGGAATATTTAATAATCAATTCAAGAAATGCATGCACTGATCACCCACTTTGTACTGTGTGCAATTGATTTAGTGCCAAATACGATAGTACCTACCCTCAAGGAACTTACAGTCCAGCTTACTACAATAGGTACAATAATGTAAATATGTATGTATAATGTAGAGATTTCGATCTCTCCATCCATGGATATACTTGGCAAGTTAGTTCTGCAATTCAGTTTCCATGAGCAAAAAAGTGATGTTACTTCATTGGATGTTTACTTTGAAGATTAAATGAATTAATATATACAAAGTGCTTGGAATAATATCAGAGATGTAGTAAATGCACCATAAATGCCATTATTATGTTCAGAGTTGGCAGAGGGATGATAATCAACATCAGTAACAAGAGTAGGGGGTAGGGTGTTGAGATGGCTTCCTGGGATCTAGCTGAGTTTTAAGATTTATAGTAGTTGTCAGGAAGCCAAAAAGGAAGAAGTGAAGGACATTGTAGACTGAAACAGTGACTTATGTGAAAAGGGGGCATTAAATAGCATGGTTTGTTGGAAATTCCATCAGTGTAGCTTAAATTTGATAGAGCTTACAGTATAGGGTGAAGGGACTACAGTGAGATAATGGGGCTTGAAAGGCAGGCAAGACTGAAATCATAAAAAGTTATGTGCTATTATAAATGGCTTGGGCTTTATTCTATGGGTGACAGGTGTAGTGAAAAGTTTTGAGCAGAAAAGACACTAGGTTTGTACTTCCCATGGCAGCAGTGTGAAAAAATGATCATAGTAGAAAGGGTGACTGGCAGAGGCATTAATGTTAAGGTAGCTGTTGGCAGTATATAAGGTGGGAAAATGGCTTGGATGAAGTAGTGAGGGAAGAGCAAGAATTGACTGAAGAAATTTTAGAAAAAATGATTGGACTTCATTTTCATTTCAATTGAGAATCTGGGAAGAATGGGAATAGGGAGAAAGAAGTCTAGAATGGCATCCAAGTTTCTCCTTGGAAGGCTGAGTGCATTACTAAGCAAGATAGGGAATACATGGGGAATTTCCTTGTTAAAGTATTTCTTAACTTGGTAATATACTAAGAGAATCATCTTTGATATAGTTAAATTTGACTCTATTTTCTTAAAGGGAATAGAACACAAGGTTATTCCTCAGTTGCAAATCAGCTTGCCATAGTTTGCAGGATCTCTGGAAGTGTATTTAAGGTATTGTTAATTTGTTTCAAGGTGAAAGCAACAATGAATGTCTAACTTGATTGTAATTGAATAAATGGGTTGAATATCTTTAGGGATGACCCTGACAGTATACCTATTAAATTAGATCTTATGGTAGGATCTGGACTTACTGCTAGAAGCATTTGAATGTTCTCCTATAGTTTTCATACATATAGTTCTAAGTATTTTAAAATTTTTTCTTTACTTTCATTTGAAAATATAGCTTAAAGCTTACAAGGTGATAGTGCCTAAAGAATAACATACCTGTTTCGCATACTGAAATTTCATTTGTAAGAAGATCCTTAAGTAGAGCTTTACAGTATTTTTATTATATAAAATGGGTTGTCATGATTTTTAGTTAATATTCTTTTTGCATAGGGTCCTTGTGATACAATTAGGCCCAATTCTATTCTTATATCCTATGGGTTTAAAATTATTTTTTCATTCCTTTTTTTTTTTTGAGATAGAGTCTTTCTGTGTAGTTTAGGTTGGCCTTGAACTCACTCTAGCTCAGGCTGGCCGCAAACTCACAGTGATCTTCCTGCCTTAGCTCTTTACCTTTTGGAATTACAGGTGTGCATTACCAAGCTTTTGATCTTAAATTATTGTATGTGTGTGTGTGTGTGTGTGTGTGTGTGTGTGTGTGTGTGTGCGCGCGTGCGCGCTCAATTAGAATCTATACAAATAATTTTTCCTATTAAACCGTTTTATAAACTGAGAACCATGAAAGAGTTAAACAAAAGAAATGATTGCAAAATTTGTTAAAGTCCTGGAAAATGAATTTATAATTTTTAGACCTCAGAACCAACCATTTGGTTTTCCTTTATTTCTTATGGGAAAAGAATATTGGTTTCTTTGCAGGTGTGGCACCACTGAGCTAAATCCCTGGCCCTCCATTTTTGATTCTAAGATAAATTACATGAAAAATAGAGTGATTTCTAAATGAATTTGTAACTCAAGGGACTGAAGATAGTAGATAGGATGGGATCCAGGAAAGCCATAGTGTGTTGGTGGAAGAGAGTAAGGGACATCAAGGGTATGTTTCCAAGGGAAGATGTGTTATTTCTGTGATTAAGGAGAGGAGAAAATTTGCTTATATTCTTTTTTTTTTGATAGTCATGAAGGTGTGAGCCTGTACCTGAAAAATAATAGATGAAGGTATGGGTTTAAGAAGCTTATAATTTTTTTCCAGATGTAGATCCATGAGCAAATCAGTACCTTATCCTTTGTCAAAGTATGAAAACTGTAGAGGTTTGGAATTTCTCCCTTCTTATGCTTCTTGTCTTTATTGTCCTCTTAGAGTACTTTGCCTTTGTCCCAGATGATTTGTTACTTATTTGTTCATCAGGGTCCATTACCTGATTTTTTTTTTTTTGCATCCTTGATTGACACATAAAGGGGCTGTAGCAAATTTGGAGGTAATAGGGATTTTTGCCTCCTGTTCTTATTGTTGTCCCCTCAAGAGATTATACAAATGTTTAAGGAAACTGCTTGAAAGTTGACAAGTTCTAGTTACAATGCTAAGTAGATTGCAGAGTTAAATTCTAGTAAGAGTTCTCTAATATATGTTGTGAGCAAGTATGTATGAGCATATGTTTCTCTTATGTATATATATGAACATATGTTATCTTTGTGTTTATATTTTTCTCATTTAATTTGTTATGGTAGAAAGATTAATAGTATCTAAAGTACTATAAATTTTTCTCAAGATGTCATTAATTTCTATTTTGAATTTATCTGTATCCTGTAAGAATTCCCTTTTAAAAATGTTTATAATTTAATTATATAATTATAAATAATAATTACAAATAATTATAAATACTAATAATTTATAATTATAACATTTTCTATAAATTTTTCTCAAGATGTCATTAATTTCTATTTTGAATTTATCTGTATCCTGTAAGAATTCCCTTTTAAAAATGTTTATAATTTAATTATATAATTATAAATAATAATTACAAATAATTATAAATACTAATAATTTATAATTTTATAACATTTTAAATGTATTTAATTATAATTTACATTTAAATAGATAATTACAATCACATGGCTCAAAACTTTAGAACTACAAAGAGGTTTCTCCATTGTTCCACACATTTTGTCATTATTCCACACATTTTCACAAAGTTGTGACCTCATGATTTGGAAAATAAAACAAGTAGTTCTCAGTGTTTAAGCTTGCCTTGTTGGCCTGTTAGATAAAATGTAAATTCCTTAAAGTATTAATTTCAGATCTACTTCTTTGGGTTGCTTAAGCAAGCATCTTTTTTTTGACTAATGGAGTTATGTGAGCCTTAGTATAAAGAACCTTTGAAATAAAATTTTAAAAAGAATTAACAGTGATACTCTGGTTATAGAACATCTCCAAACTCGAACTTTCCACTACTCAAACTGAAAAGTTTTTTTTTTTTTTTTTAAATCTGATCGATGTTAACCTTACTTGATAGTTGAACTGAAAATCCAACTTAAAGAAAACCTTTCTGGCTGAGAGTGAGTCACATGTCCATCTTGCTGTGGA